AAATACTTCAACAGGAAAACAGTTCAGAAAGTTATCTGTGATACTCCCGCCCCCCCCTTTTTTAAATCAGGATTTCAATCCCGAAAGTCCTGGGTGCTTTTAAATATTTGTACTCCCAATTTTCGTCTCTCTAGTCTCTGAGAATGCCAGAAGCCCCACACCACTTAAGAATTATCAAACAATTTGAGGAGAAAAGCAGCAGATAATGTGGAGAATGTTGGGCTTATATCAATAGGTTTTCCTTTTATCTGAGATCTTGGAACTTAAAGATTTTTCTGCCTTCGCTGCTCTTTGATGTCTTCCAAACACTTTTTTTTTTTTTTTAACTCAGCTCTTATTGTTATCTCAGTGAAAGTATTGGTTTGAACACATGAAACTCCATCATAGTGGGCAAAAGAAGTTACCCAAGCCAGGTTCAATCCAAATAGTTGCTTCAGTGAAGACTATAATAACTTTGGCACAGTTTTATTCAGGATATTTTCACTATTGCACTTTGCCCATTTTCCTTGATTCAAATCTTCCTGATTAGATTTTTTTGCAATATTACTCATTAGGCCAAAGCTAGATTGAGATCATTAGAGTTCCCAGGTGTAGAAAAGTTGGCCTTTTCTCCCTCATAAGAAATTGAAAATAAAAACAATCCTTAGGTATAAAATAAACATAAGAAATAATTCCATTCTTTCTAAAAATACATCAAATGTAAATTATTTCCCAGAATTTATGAAGCCAGGCTTCCCGGGTGTAGATCCTGGCTCTGCCATGTACTAGGTAGGCAAGATACTTGACATCTCTCTGCTTAAGGTTCATCAGCTGTGAGATGTGGAAAAGAGTAGTACCTGCCTCATAGGGTTATTATAATGAATGCTTTAATATTTCTGCAGCACTTAGAACAATGCTTCACATGTATTAAGTACTCAGTTAATGTCAGCTACTAAAAAAGATTATCCAACATTAACAGTAATAGCCATAAAATACATCAGCATATAACTTATGTACACTCATAAAAAGTAGTCATGATTCAGTAGAGATAAGTTTGATTTACTTGGTAAATTTATTCGAACCTTTTCATTGCTAGAAAAATTTGTGATAGCTCCACAGTTTTATTTTTATTTTTCCTTCCTTTGCCTTTTTTGGGGGTTGAGGGGAGTCTCTCTCTTCTCTGTTAGTGGGAAGAAAAAGGAACCATTTCTTTCTATTGCTCAGCAGTGATTTCCCAATAGTTGAGACACTCAGCATATTGAGCACTCATTATGTCTTGGGCCCTGGGCTAACCATAGAACTGTAGAAATGAGTAAGAGTCTCTCCTCTGCCTGAAAGTCTTTGTAGACTTATCAGAGTCAGACAGATAAACCAGAAATGACATACACATTAAGCCATCTACCCTATGGCCGGGAATCAGAATTTTAGAATACATTAATTTTATAATCTTCACAACAACCTTAGGATGTAGGCACTGAGGATCAGAGGAGAGAAGTAACTTGCCCAGATGAGATTTGAACCCAATGTCTCCAAAAAATAGGTCCATGGCCTTCCTACTAATGTTAAGATGGGGAGACAGGAACATTTTCACCTAAAAACATCAAATAAAAGGCTGATTATAGTTGTCTACTCATGGCCCATACCACCTGTTAATTCAGATGTGTGAACTTGAATCGGACTCCTTATTTGGGATTTTATCAGTTATTTCCGGCAAAGTGGTCAAACTAATAATAGGTAGCCTTGACATTCATACAGCAAGTGAAAACTGTGGTGCAGAACTATTTTTGAATGGGTATTTTTAAATTCAGTGAATCATTTTCACCAAAAAAAAAAAAAGAGTTGTCATTTAAAAAATAAAATGACACATACTCCCTTAATGTGGTGGGCTGTGATTAGAGAAACCTTCTTCTGTATTTCCTATGATATTTTCAACTACATTTGGATTAATTAACCAAACTGGTAGAAACCTCAGCTCCAAAGAGATCATCATTGCGATTTCAACCCTGCAGGTGACTGGTAGCTTCTTTAGCTATAAGAAGAATCTCTAATCCTAGGTAGTTTGCAAAAGGAAAATGAGCAATAACAGGTTGGAAGCATGCTACAGAAAGGAGGATTTACACACATCCACTTTCCATTTGGAAGGTCAGTCCACTGATTATTTTAACTTATAATGAGTTTCAGCCCGAGTCAATATATAGTAAAGTGTACCTAAAAATGATTAACATAATAAAATAAAATTTAAAAAAATCCAGAAAAAAAGTAAAAAAAAATGATCAAAAATTCAAAATGAAAAGATGTTAGTTTTTGCTAAATTTCAAACTAAATTTCAAATGGAAGCCCTGGATTTTCGGCATTTTCAGAACCGAGAATTTCTTGTTTCACGGGACATCACCTATTGGCAGAGCTTGGTACTGCAGCTTTCCTCAGATGCTGGAGCTGCAGAAAGAGAAGTTGCTCAGGCAGCCAAGGATCTGGAGTCAGAGAGATGCTAAAGCAGGCAGCTCACAGGACGTGGGGCCCTGGAAGTCTGGAAAGACATGCTTTCTCTCCTCTCTTCCCATTCCACTCAGTACTACGATGTGCATTTCTGAACAGAGACCTAGAACCGTAACTGGAACAAACTGCAAAATGGTGAATTGTGGCTGTTGCTGAAATCTGCTCCGGGGGAGACCTCCCGACCCATTTAGATGGACATTGCGTTCCATGAGCCACTAGTTCTTGTGCCAACAGGTAAATTCCCACCTGTCCTGTCTCTGAATCATTGTAGCATGGCAGCTTGCTTTTACTTTTGCACTGCTGCAGCTAATAGCATCAGGACAATAACCGTTGAAATACAAATCTATCTTTTCTCCCAGTTGGGGCTGGGATAGAAATGAAAGAAGAGGAAGCTGGAATAGGAGGATTTTATAGCCACATTTTGGACATTGGTCTTACTGTTCAACAAGAAGCAATTTCTGACAATGAAGAAATTTCATTCTTTTCAAGTGGCACAAATGTAATCTGCTCAGGTGGTTCAGCTTCCATTTATATTTGTAGCACCCCGGAGCAACTCTTTTTTTTTTTTTTTTTTTTTTAAGAGCCAGAATAGAAATCTTGATCACACTAGCGTGGAAAGGTCCTTCGGGTTCTGAGAGCAATCTTTTCCCCCCTGCGTTTTAGCCCTTTTGCCCTTTGAATGAGTATACGTTTTCTGCATGTATTTTCCAGAATACCTTCCTGTGGCATTCATTTCATTCTGTTTAATTGGCTTCCTGTTAATTGAGAGGGAGGATGAACTGGGAAATAAGCACGTGTGCTGAGTTAGAAATAAGCAGGGATGGTCCTAAAGGAAATGAAGCTGAAGTTAGAAAACGTGCAGGACCGTGCCTTTATTCGGCTGCTCTAGGCTCTCACTGCACTCTGCGTTTGTGGGGCATCCACCCATTTGCTCCTTGCTGAGCCCCAAAGGGCTGTGGACGAGAGCATTTAGGAGGAGATTTGGCACCTGTATGGTGACCTCAACACGAGGGTCTAAACGCATTCTAAAGGTACTCACGAGGTCGTTTTAAAGTGGTGCAGTTTTGCTACTTTGGTCATCATTCCCGCGTAGACATTTTACAATGCAGGACTCCAGAATTCATCAGCCCTTTCCCCCCAGCCCACTCGGTGTCAGGGTCGTTAGATCCTCTCATCCATCTCTGGGCCACTACCCCCGTGTTTCTTGGATTTCTTTCCATCACTTGCACGGTCTCAGGACATCGATGTGGATTCTTACGGGGTTTTTAAGATATCTTTTCTTCCAACTCCCTGAGTTTCTGTTTTGATCCATTTGCTTACAAATGGCTTTAATTAGCTCAGAAAACTACCCCCAGAATTTTTCAATTTCTTTCCTTCTGTTCCAGAGAGAGACACATCCTTCATGCTGGTGATAATGAGACCAGTGGCAACTTCAGAGTGGCATGCATTTTCCTGCAAGGAACTGTAAAGAACAGACACCAAAGTCTTAAAGAGGACAGTTGTAGGCAATGCTTGAGTCACGACTTCAGAGGTTGAGGTTGTCGGGGAGCTGTCCGTGATGATTGTGGGGTGCGTGTGTCTACACACACATGCACACACACACCCTACAGTGACAGATGACCTATTGAAATAATTTCAGAGCTATTCTGTGGTTGCTACGACAACCAATGCTCTCTTGGCTTTCATCTGGCCATGTGACAGGGACTTTGACGTCAGCTGGAGGCAGAGTCTGTGGCTGAGTCCACACAGTCAGAGGCCTGGGAGAATCTGGTGGATGCTGACCACTCCTGCTGCTGCTTGCTCTGTTCCTGCCGCTGCTCCTACTGCCGCACCCCTGCTTCCCCGGGGCGACAGAGCATGGACTGTTAAATCTTGCACTTCTCCGGTGTGAGGTAATTAGCCTGCTTTATACACAATAGTTAGATGTTTGATAGATTACTGCAGTTTTCCCCTCTCTTTTACCTCCTCCAAGTTTATCGTCATGAGCAATGATTGTTGTACCAGGGGAAAAAATGTGAAGCAGCTTCTAGTTGCTAATTTTGTGCGTAGTCTCTGGAATTTGGTTAAATTTGGATTAATGTTCTCTGAAGTAAGTTAAAATATAATCGCCTTTCTTGCTCAACACTTGCTAACATGACATTATTCAGAGATACGGATTTTGCAGCTTGAGCCAAATATTCCCCATTGAATTCCAGGAATCCTCCCTTCAGCATTGTTTTGGGTTTAAAGACTACAGCATAGTCTTGCAATATGTTGCTGTTTGTTTTGTTTGTTTTTTGTTTTTTGTTTTTTACAATTGTTACCCATTCTGAATCAGTCTAGAATAGTTTGGGATTTGGTTTCTATCTTGTTTGCAGCATGCATAATTAGCAACAATAGGCACAGCGGGGAAAGAACATTATACTTTGAAACAAAAGTTGGTGTTTTTTTTTTTTTCTTGTAAATAGGGTATTCCGAAAATACCAGGGAAACTGTCAACAGCTTCCTGTTTAGAGAAAAATAATCTGGACTATGCCAAGGAAGTTGGGGTGGAACCTCTTACGTGTGTGTGCATGCAGTTGCTTTTTGGTTGTTAGAGCAAAGTGCACATTTTCAGGATCTTCCTCTGAAAATTCAGCTGTGAAGAGAACGGCATTAGATAGTCTTCACTAAGGAGTCGTGCAAGCTGTTCTTATATTTAAGAACTGAAATATTGCCCACAGAAGGAAACAATAGCCCTAAAGCTAGATTATCATTGGTAGATGTTATTTTAATTCAGATACAGATATGAATAGTCACTAAAGTTAACTCCAGATCTTGAATGAATAATTTGATAACTGATTAATAAGACCTTTTATCTCCTTATTCCTATCGCCGTATACAAGGCAAACTGTTTTATTTGCACTGTTGTAGTTCATTTTCTTGCCGAGTTTAGTAATTCTGGATTTTCTATCACTGGATAGATTGGATGGTTTTGTAGCTTATAATTCAAAGAAAACCTCTGGCATTTAAGTTAATCAAAGCCGGCATTTATAACCAGGTTTCTCAATCTTACAAATTCAACAGGAAAAATGGGCAAATATTAGAGCAGCACATGTAATATACTTACTATTTTGATGGATAGGAAATAATGGTTTAACTGTGTATATGAATATACATTTTGTGATATGTGAATTATATCTCAATGTAATGCAATATATTGTTCTTATTTTTTATATTCCTTATTAGTTTTAGAATTCTGATTGCATTTATTTTTCCTCTTAAAGATGAGAATTTTGAACAGTATTTAGTTTCAGTGATAAGTGAATAAGTGTGGGTGCATCAATAGTTTTTCAATAGCTTTCAGTGACTGAATATTCATTGAACTGACTGGCATTTGGTAAGTCTGTTTTTGGCCAGAGACCCCATGGAGGATTTTCCAAAAAGTCTAATGTGCTTACAATCAAGGCACATCTACTGAGGCATCATCTCATCATTTAATTTATCTCATAATTATAGTAACGCAGAGGCCACATTCTTAACACCCCTAGAAATATGTTAATTGATTTGCAATATTTCAAATGAGCATGGATAGGACTGGTAGCATGTCATTTAAAAGCTCTATCTTTGATGGAGTACTTTGATGTTTTTTTCTTTTACGAAAAATAAGTAATTATCATTAGACCTTAGAGAGCAAAGATATAGCAAAGATTTTCTATATATCTCCCTCTATGATGTTTTAAATTCAAGTTATAAAATGACTCTATTCAGTGTCCTTATAAAACATACTGGATTTCAGCAATGTGGAAATATAAGAGAACAAGTCAGTGTCAATGACAAAATGTCAATGATAAAGTTTATCACTAGAAGAGAGCAACCTTTGCTATGATCTCAGAGATGCTTTAGAATCTACAGGTTTTTTTCTCGTGGCAACATAAAAAAAAATGACTCTCATTGTGCACAGTCATCTACTTACAGGGGTGAGACTGTGCTGATTTCAAGGTCAAGTTTGTTTCAGCTTCAAAGATAGCAGCAAGGAATGATTTGCGCTAACCTGATTGTTGCTTTGTGTATAGTTTCGGGGATTTTTAACCTTTTTGGTGTCATGGGCTTCTTTGGCAACCTGGTAAAGCCTATAGATTTCTCCGAATGATGCTTTTAAATGCATAAGTTAAAGTATGCTAGATTACAAAGAACCACTTTTGTTGAAATACATTAACCAGATTTTTTAAAAATTGTGATATGTGTTTTGTTAATAATTTATTCTTAAATAATACAAGCTAGCAGCAGGTATAACTACCATATGAAATAGTGATGAGTGTAAAAAGTATTTCGGAATGTCTATACTGACTATAACGTGACGTGAGAATATCCATGATTTCTCTCAGCGACAAAATCACAGGTACTGTGGTTTGTAGCCTACATTTTAATTAAAAGAAATACTAAATTTCAGGTTGAGACTGGCGAAACTAAAAGTGTCATATATATTTTTCCCATCCAAGTTCCGGATCCCCTTGAATTCTATCCACCCCTGAATTAAATGATATGTAAGCTAGTGATGCCAAAATTTCATAGAACTGCACTGGACAAAGCACACACCACCATTTCCACATCCAGTTCCGCATCTGATTTTATTCTCTGAATGTGTGAATGTCACAGTATTCTTGAATTTCTGTGTGAAAAGGAACGGTATATCCGGACAGCGACCAAACTATAACTTTCGTTCATTTTCCATAATGAATGTTGAAATCCATGAGCATGCTTATGTTGCATGGACCAGGAAACTCTTACCTCATTAAATAGGAGTGAAGAGGAAGGACTCGTAATGTTAACGCAAGTTATGCAAGTTCAAACCATGGACCACAGGAGTAAGACTAAAGTTAGTTACAAAACGGCCTTTATCCACTCAGAGAAAATAAACCAGTAGTACTCAGATGAAGAGTGCAGGATGTTATGTGAGATCATTGGAGAACTTATGTAACTTTCCAGTGTAATGTAAAGCACATTCTTGCGTGAATCTATAAGTTGTAATGTTACTTCCTTACCCAGGATAGAGCCTGTTAGTTTATCTACCACAGGTCCCCAGGATGCACCACATTCAAAATGAAATGGGGAATGGAGACACTTCCCAAGTAATTTGAACTCAGAATTCTCTTTGACTTACTGGATATTTAAGAACAGTACAGGAGGTATTAATATTGTTTAGCATGACTGTCTACGCAATTGTCTCGTTCTCATGTCAACTTTGAATTTGCAGAAGATATTGCCTAATGTTCTTCTCCAACCTACTAGGTAGCTTTGCAGTTGGTTGGCTGACATCATATATCACTATCTTTCCAGCCCTGCCTTTAGACTGTCCAAAGCTGCCCTTTCTATTACATCAGCATCCCGCATCTCAGCGTAAGAGAATTGGAGCTGTGACATTTTGTACAAGCTGTTGTCTAAACTCAATCCAAATCCCTAACATTTGAAATGGAAGCTTAGCAATTTCCCTTCATGTGTTCTTGGGGAATTATGAAAGAGGATTTTTCTCAAACATTTTTTATTCATTGGACAAGAAAAGAACACCTGCTTTGGGGACTTTGAGTCTCTGAGGCAACTTGATAAAGAAACTTGGAAAATGTCTAAAATCTCTGACTCCCAGCTGCACTGTTTGCCTCTTTGATGGCAGGTGTTTGAAATTTTAAGTTCAGAAAAGAATGTGCCATTACTCTTCATGAAATCAACTGTCACTTAAATGGTGCCCCATGATGGAAATCCAACTAGAAATAGCATTCCAAAATATAGTATTTTTTATTGTCTCCAGAAGTGATGCCATAAAAGTTAGTGCTCATTAAGACTTTGATATAAAAATTATATGATAAATATTTAAATTCACTGGAGCCATGTTCTCCAAACTAAAGACAGTCTGTTCTTTTTATCCCTGCAGTGAACCTTAGTTTTTTGGGACATATTTCTATAAATGCCTTTAATTAGAGACACAGCATCTCTTTAAAATTTAGTTTACACTAATGTAAAACATAGTATACTCAGCTAACATTAAAGTTCTATCTTTGATTTGCAGGAAAGAAATCTCTAATCTGAATGATATTCAGCTGCTGCTTGTCCTAATGTAAGGATTATTCATATTTTCTGAATTCTGTCCCAATGACAGCAGGAAAACGAAAGTCTGCATATTGCTGTTATACAAGGATGAATCCTTTAAAGGATGATTCTAGATTATTTTTTTTTTAATGTTATGAATTTAAACCCTATCCATTAGAGGCAAATGTTGAAAAGTGTTACATTCTTCGGCTATCTGCTCAGCTGATTCCCACAGACTTTCATGTGATTCATACAACTAAAACCACGACCAGTTTTGTGATGACCATATTTACAACATCCTTGGAGATAAAAAATAGCATCCCACAAAAGTCATCCCATCCTATGCCTTCCCAGGTATCAGGTGCCACAGGAGGCAAGCATTTATTAACTAGCTACTGCATCCACATTATTACAGGAAGCATTTGGGCCCCCCACACAATCCTTGAGTGATATGTGCCACTGGCATAAAAAGCTCAGCTTACTTTATGAACTTCTGATTTTTGTTTGCTTGAGCTTTTATTCAAACATTCAGTCTTTCATACATTCAACAAGTTTTGCATACCTACTGTGTGCCAGGCTTTACACTAGACACCAGGGATGCTATGGTGAACAAGACAAGCAAGTCCCCTTTTAGGGATCCTATGTATATCAACGGCCAAAGTTTCTTCCTCAGGGTCATTAAAGAATTATCTTTAAAAACTAACAAACAAACATGAAAACAAAAGAGACAAGCAAACAACTGGGAGCCATTAGATTTTACACCTGAGTTAAACTTTAGAAGGGGCATTCTTCAGCTGGTGAACAGCCAGCCTAATTTGTGAGCAATCTGTTCTTATCAGTGTCAAGCATTCCAGATCAGTACGCCCAGCCCTATTCTTGGTGGGCCAGAGGCTGTCTTCTAATTCAGAAAAAAATGAGAATGGTAGGAACTGACCTAAAGAATGATTTTCTTTTAGGCAAATATGCTATCTTATGCAAATAACAAGAGTCATTTTATTTTAAGAAAGAAATCCTTAAATTAGTGGTGCCCAAGTACAGTTGACCCTTGAACAACATGGGGGTTAGGGGTGCCAACCCTCCATGCAGTCAAAAATCCACATACAACTTTTGACTCCCCGAAACTTAACTACTAATACCCTACCATTGACTGGAAGCCTTACCAATACCATAAACAGTCAATTAACACATATTTTGTATTTTATATGTATTATATACTGTATTTTTCAAATAAAGTCAGCTAGAGAAAAAAAGATGTTATTAAGAAAATCATAAGGAAGAGAAAATAGTTACAGTACTATACTGTATTTATCAGAAAAAATCCATGTATAACTGGACCCATGCATGGTTCAAACCCATGCTGTTCAAGAGTCAAACGTCTACCTATCGTAGCTTTCCTACACTAATCCAGTCAAGATGGGCTTACTGAATAAGCCCAAATCCCAATGGCATAATGCCATTCACTTCTCACTCACCTGCACATCAGATTTAGGAGAAAGTTTCTTTTTTCTTTCTTAAGATTTATTTATTTATTGAGAGAGAGAGAGAACACAAGCGGGAGGAGGGGCAGAGGGAGAGAACCTCACACAGACTCCCCACTGAGCATGGAGCCAGGCGCAGA